TTCCGCTACCGAAACTTTCTGTCGCTCCTTGGAGACCCAAATGTTCGTGTCGCTCGTCAAGTTTGCGAAGCTCGTATTTCCGTTCGCCCTGTCAATTTTTGTCTCGCGATTTATAGCGCAAAGTTTTCCCTTAACCTGGTTATTGGCTCCCGCGTTTATAACTAACTTTTCTCTCGTGCTGACTTCCGCAGTCGCTGTATCAATTGCAGCATCGGTTTTGTTGTCCGCGAAAACATTGATCCTACGCTCGACCAATCTCAACTTATCCGTATCCTTCGCGCCGTTATCGCTGTTATCGTAACTTGCTCTCGAAATTTTTCCCGTTTTGTCACTACTGGCCTCGGATGCTGAATGAGACTTATCGAAACGATCTGTGCTTCTGACGGTTGATGTGGCGCGAATGATGTCCTCTCGCTTCGCCCTGGAACTCGTCTCATCGATCGGCTTATGTTTATCTCCTTCCATCAATTTCTCGAAACGTTTCTTCTCCCTTCTCGTGCCATTCCTCATGTCTTTACCAAAGGCGACTTCCTCCAGTTGTTCCTCGTTCTCCTTTCTCCAAGCTTCCCGCTTGTTGAGAAGTATCACTTCGTCCTCCAAGCGATTCTTCCCCTTTATTGGTAACAAATCGAGCATCCTATCATTTTCGGTCGTCATGTTTTTCTTATCGGCCAATTCCCGTTTCCTCTTCTTCTTCTTCTTCTCCTTCCCTGTCAATTTTGCATCAAGAAGATCGAACGAATCGTAAATCATTGGCTCTTCGTAGCCTAAATAAAGAGAATCCCTTCCTTCATAACTCGCACGCTTCTGTCGTGATTTTCTGTATCCCGGCGATGATCCTGCGCGACTTTGATTACTGCGATGCTTCCTGTGCTTTCGCTTTACTTTTCTGTTATTTTCGTTCTTCTTATAATTACGAAACTTTTGGCGCTTCGTTTTGCGATATTGCTTCGATGGGATTTCAAGACTACGCGTTTCTCTGCGATGAGTGTGGCCTGGAAATTTTTAAGTATATATATATATATATGGAGCAGACAATAAATTTTTTATTAATTCTTCGAAAAAATATATAAAGAATAAAAATACGACAAAGTTACTAAACCAAATAGTTTGATCGCGCTAGTATCAGAAAATAATATGCGAAATAATCGCCGGGCGAATATTTCGCCGTGCAATTTTCGGACGAGATATTACGTGGATATAATTACACGATTTTAAAAGTTTGGCCGAGGCCGTCACGTTTTTTTTTTTTTTATCGTTTCGACGCAGAAATAATTTATCGCCCCCATGGTATTTAGACCGAAAATATTTCCGATATACTAATTTTCCGATATCGGTAGTTGAAGAAACATCGCCGGTAATGTTTGTTTACTGCATTTCACACCGAAATTTTAATATTTATTCTTAAGTGTGCATAATCAATTGTATTATTTTTAGAAGGCATTTTATAATTGATAAATCGAGAAATGTATTGCGAGAGACATGACGTACCATCGTGATGCTGCCTATCTGTCACTTTGGGTGCGATGTTATTGAACCGAAAAAAATTATGCGGTGTATCGATTGGCAAAGAGAATGCATTTTTTGTCATCGAATAGTTTGCATTAGTGACATTGGGCATTGCGCTCTGATACTGTAGAATATTTCCTGTTCCAGCTCTAGCTGCTTCAATAGATACCGACGCAAACTTTCCTTTCCTTTCTCGCTCTTCGATATATCTCAGAAGTAGATTTAATTGACGAATCTAAATAATTGTAAAATTCTTTTTTGATATAATTTCCTATTATTCTTCTAATATCTCTTGTTTCATATAAACTTGATCACACACACACACACATCAACAAATAACGATATTACAACTTTTTAATAAAGTCTTACCAAATAATCGTGGACTGTTTGGACTCTTGTTTTCTCTTTTGTCGTCAAAGCGTTATATTCCTTTACTAGAGTATCCAATACTTTCACTTTTTTCTGTAAATCGTTAATATTTTCTCCCTCGGAAGTGTTGTAAAATAGGAATTTACGTTCCGGATTCTGTTCCGGAATGATTTCCTCGCGGATCAATGGCAACGGTGGTACCTGGTTTAAAAATTAATACTTATTATTAATCAAAAAAGTTTGAACACGATATGATTGTAATACGTATTTGAAGATTATGGAATATACTTCTTCCAACGGTTCCTCCTCTCGATCCACTTCCAGCATCCATCCTAAAAATTCTCGCATATCCGGCGATAAGGAAACGCAAGTTTTTCTCTGGACTTCGTTGAGAATTAACCTACCAAGAAGCTCCTTAATTCTTTTCATCATTGTTTCCGTGTGATTCGTCTAAATTTTTAGACATTTATTTAAGAAATACAATAATTCAAAATTATCAAAGTTATTTTTTATAGAGAAAACAAACAAATTTCTTAAATTAAGTAATAGTGATTACTTCATCCTCGTCAAGTCCTTGCCGATAAATATCACTCGCCGTTATCACGTCTTCAGTTTTGTAATTGCGTTGAAGCCCAGGACCAAAGACGTTTTTTAATTTATCATTATTTTGAATCTATACCACATCGGCGCTAATTATTATCCATGATCTTTACAGTACAAATGTAAACTGCATAAATTTTTTTTTTATGAAAAAGAACGTTGGCTTTGATATCGCGCGATACGATTCTTTACTTGCCTGTTCAAATATCTGCTCGACGATTTTTCCAGCTAGCTCACCGTGAAGAGCGACGTCCATCTGTGACTCGTCATCGACGTTGTCGGCTGTGAGGAGCAGCGTAATTTCCTTTCTTCGTGCGTTGCCTTCTTCCGGCTTCACTGTCTGAAAAATCATCCTTAATTCTTTTCTCTCTTTTAACCCAGTCGCGCGATCTACTACGCGACGGTCGCCGATTGTCTTTTCACTCACACTCTGATCCTCCGCGTTCTCGTAAAGCACTTTTTCACTCGGTGCCTCCTCGTTCACTCCCCGAAGCAGACTTTGCTCGGCCATTTTACTTTTCTGGATTCTGGTGCGTCCGGTCAGAGAAGACGCTTCAGCTTTGCTCTTCTTCTTTGGCTTCAAATCGTCTCGATTAGCGTTTCTCGACACGTCAGATCGATGCGTATGATGTCTTCTGTTTCTACTCGAAGACGGACGTGAATTATGCTTCTTTGCATGTTTCCTTGTGGGCTGCTTGTTCTTCTTACTTTTCTTTTTAGAATTTTCTCTCTTTCTCGAATTGGTTCGAGGGATCTGCGAGTATCGATCAAAGTCTTGTATGTCGTTATTCAAATTTGTGGCCGCGTATCCATTATATACACCGTCGGATTGATCCTCGAGAATATTTGAAAGTTGAAAATGATCGCTCAGAGTTTTGTCCGTTTCATCGGAATTGCCTTGATTCCCGCTCACATCGTTATAAAACGTGCGATACGAAGCAGCCCTTCTGACTCTCCTTGTCTGATTATTTACGTATTTTTGTTCAGCAGCTTCAAGATCTTCATCATCATCCATAATATAAATCATATTCGTCAAAATCGGCTCTTGATTTTTTTTAGCACTCCACTCGGATGCATCATGATGAACGTTGAATACATTGATTAAGTCCGCAGTTATATTATTATACCAATCATGTGAGATCGATGAATTATCACGAAAAATTTGCGAGGAATTATAAAGTTTAGAATCTATATTGATTATATTTGCCATATCTGATTTGTTATCTTGATCGTGAGTTTTATTCGAGTCAGAAATTATTGCTTCGTCTACGGCCTTCAGTCCTCTGCCAAGCCTGACTTTCACATTATCATCGAAATCATCGTGCCAATCCAAAGATTCCACAAACGACTCATCCAAGTCTTGCGAATTAATTACCGCTTGTTTTTCCGAATTTACATTTCGTTTCAGCACTTTACGCGTCTCGGACTCGATGTATTTTCGATTTTCGTACGGAGAACCGGAATCTGTGTTGATCTGCGACTGTCCTGTCGCACTTCTTTTGAGAAATGGATTATTTCCATCCTGTATAATCTATCAGTGTATTATTATATTTGCAAAGAGATTAATTATATTGTAATTAATGATAACTACACGCGTACTTTAAATACACCTGACTCGGTACTGACGGAAAATATTTGCGGTAAATTTTTCTTCGTAAAACTACTCTGTTCGAGGCTGCCTTTAAACATGTCATTCGTAACTTTAAGCGCGAGATAATTGCTCGTCGCAGTACTATTCGAATCTGCAACTGTTGAGCAAACATTTCATAAAACTCACATATATTATATTATCATTATATAAGCGTTATAAAAATAACGCAGCAAATTAAAGATCGTAAACATGAGACGTTAAAAAAATTACAAAAAATAAAAATATATCTGCAATTAAAATAAAAATCAATATAAAATATTCAAACATTATACGGATAGATTCAATTAAAATAAAGATATATAACAGATATTTGATTGCACTCAATATTTACTTGTCCAGGATGCATTGGACAATTCGAATCTTTTTTGCTCATCGTCGTTTTGACTTGAGCCGAAGAATCTATCGTTCAATGACTGTAATTGAGAGGGATTTGTGTCGAGTTTATTATCCGATTCATAGCGCAGTCTTTGATCACCTCTGAGGCGGGGTCCGCTCTTTAATTCACCGTCAATCCAATCATATACGTTCTTTAATTCCTCGTATAGAGGCTCGACATTGTTCGGATAACTTCGATCATTCCCTTGATAATAATAATCTTCTGGTCTATGTGGAGTAAACTATTAGACAATTTCGAGGCTTGTAAATACACAGTCTTAACAAATAACGTTTACAAATTTTATTTATAAGTTCTTTTCAATTAAAACATTTAATTATTGACTGTGGATTTTTTAAATATAAACAGAAATAATTTTATATATAATTAAGAAATATGACTAATTAAAAATATGCAATTTTCATGAAAATTTAGATTAATTAATTATATTAATAATTATATCAATAAAATTTTCAGTTTTTTAAAATGTTAATTTTATATATATTCTGCGATACGATTTACAAGCAATGATACCGTTCGTTTTCAAAGTCTTCATAAAAATCTTTCCAGGCCTCTAGCTTTCTGTTTTGCTCCACGATTTTGATAGGCTGAATATCTAACAAGATATTTTCGATAACGTCAGGATTTACGTCTAAACGTGCACTAGATATGATTTCCAAAGGTTCATTCAATCTAATTTTCTTTCTATGATTATCGTTTAATGCCACTTCTGAATTCTTCAGCAAGGCCATTCTGTTCTCAAATGATTGGTCCAACCTATCAGACGTCTATTTTTTGGTCATTTGAATTATAATATTTTAAATAAAAGATAGCTTAAAATATTTATTTGTTATATCATTAATAACAAAGTCACGACAAGATATTATCACTTATAACTCACAAATTAATTCAATTTACCATTTCGGTTTCAAATCTGCCGATTCTTCTCGATAAACATTATTTCTAAAATCTTCGCTTTGACGAATCTTTCCCGAGTTTTTCTCAGTCGACAGTTGTTTTCTTTTACTCAACGCATCTCCGAGGTTTGATTCTGACGCACCGGATGGTTTCTTGTCTTTCTGATCATTTTTTAAAGTCTTATTCTTACGTTCACCAAGATCGACAATGATTTGCTCCTTTGGCTCTTTATTCTTTGTCTTCTCGCGTTCCTCCTTCATCATCGCCTCGGCGTTCTCATTCTTTTTCTTTCCTAAATCACTTGGTTTACACGTTGTTTTATCTTCTGCAGCTAATCGAAATATTCAATTTCACAAATTTTTATTACAACTATATTTTATTTATTTTAATTCTATTATTACGCTTATATAATCTTACCACGTTTCATCTCCGATCTTTCATCTTCGATCAAAAATTCATCATTTTTATCCTGAATTCCCTGCTTATTTATTTGCGCATCGCGCTCTTGTTCTTCATTATTATCGTCATAATCATAATATTCGATCATGTCCAACATACTACGTTTTTTTCTCCTGTAATCGGCATCCTTATTCTTGTTCTTCTTTTCAAGCTTTTGCTTAATTAACATATCGATTTTGGCTCTCACAGGATCGATCCGATGCCTAGATGAAATTAGTCCTTTTCTTTCGCTTTCCATTGCTCTATCATTATCTGTAAATGCATTATATCACTTTTACATTTGCGTTACTTTTGCTACAAAAATCTCATCAATTTATACCTTCCATTACATCCTCTTCACTATCATTATAATCCCCTTTAACTCTTTCGACATTTTCATACTCTTCATTATTTTCTTCTTTTTCATCGTGATCTACTGCCACTTCTTTTCCGGCCTCCACATTCTCTGCTGCATTATTGGATTCAAGATTCTCAAAGGAATATGTAAATCGTTTGTAACGAGCATGATGATTTGCGTCGGACATCTGAAGATTACAATTATTTTGCAACGCAGAATTTTCTTCAGCGTTATCGTCGCGTTTGACTCTAATTAACATTTTTCCGGAATCTGCAAAATTAATTATTTTACTTTGCTGCCGATTCTCGTCCATAACATCCTCGATATGACTCTCAATCGTGGAATTTAGAACTAATTCCGTGCTCTTTGTCAAAGAATCTTCAGTTTCGGTGTCGACAGAAATCCATAATAATCTCCTCCGTAAATGATTATCGGATTCGTGATACTCGCGAGCCTCCGTTACAGTTTGCGTACCCTCCTTTACATTCATAGTCTCATTTCCGTTTGACCCGACAACACGAATATCGATTCTGTCGGTATCCGAATTTCCATTCAATTTATTTGCACTACTATTCGTCGCACTTAGAGACGGAACCATCTGTTGCTGCTTTCGCAAATCGTTGTCTACAGTCATCGAAACGAGATCCTCGCGTTGATCTTTCGGAATTATCGGTTCACCGATCCCGGACGCGTTTACACTCGCGATTTCCAGTTTCACCGTCGCATCGATAACGAGATCAATCGAGCTCGAAGAGACTTCTCTTGCATTTGCATCCGTTAACTTGTCGGCATCATTCGTTCTCGTCTGCACCACGGACGTCCCGTCTTCTCTCATTCGCCTTAACAATCTCGCCTCTGCCTCCTGCTTTTGATACGGACGCTCTCGGGGCTCAAAGACCTTGATCACGCCGGGTATCAGTTCGCGGTTTTCCTTCCGCATCCCGTTCGTCTCGATCTCTTCTCTTTTTGTAGCCGCGATTGTCTCGACGCCGTGGATTCTCCGCGATTCATTTGCTGTCGTGTCGAAGCCACGCGACGTATTTCCCTCGGGAAACTCCACTCTCGCGTTCTTCGATTGTCCGTCATCCGTACCGAGTCGCGATTTTTTCCGCGCCGATAATTTTTCCTCATCGCTTTTCCTTTTTCCCGCGAACTTCCGAGAGTCATCGGCATTGCTGTTCGTTGAAAAACGTATTGAATCTACGGATGTATTTGATATAGCAAAGTTCTTTCCAAAATCGAACGAAATAGTGTGATCTTCCACTGTATAATCGATATTTTTTGGTATCTTTTCAGTGAGAGAATATTGACCAAGTTTTTCCAAATTTATTTTTAGAACTTTATTCATAGCAATATGTTCTGAATGCGGTGAATGCGTTTGAAGATCGGTTTTTACAAAAAAAAGTGATGTATTGTAGATGGAATAATTGTTTAAGTTAGGTTCTGTAATCGAAACATATCTCAATCCAGAAATATTTACTTTGTCAGGTACTGATGAGGTAATCGTTAAATTAATAAAACGATGGTTTAAGAAAGATCCTTTGTCTAAAGAATACTGCGAGTCGGAAATGTTTATCTTATTTAAAGTCCTCGTTAAACTTTTTCCGTCATTATTAAGATAACCAGAATACAATCGTGCGATGACTCCTTTGGTTTTTTGCATCCTGGTTACATTTCCAAGAGCGTCTTTAATTATCTGAGCTTCACGATGACATTTATTTTCAGGGACATCTTTCTGAGTATTTAAATCTGCGATAAAGCTCCTTCTACTGCGTTTAGAGCGATCATGTAATTCTTTCATATTTTGTTCTCCAAGATATAATTCTCGAAATTCTGCTCCTTGAGAAATTCTTGGGTCACTTTCATCTTCACTGCCTACATTTTTAGCTCTATTACTCCTCCATATTGTTTCTTTATACGGATGTTCGTCAAGATCTCTTTCGAAATCAAATATTATGGCTGACGATCTTGGATGGTCCCACCAGCTAGATTCTTTTAAAAACATTGATCGTGGTAAAGACAACGTAATAATAAAGAAATATCAATACTAACATAAGAATAATTTGTTTACCCTTCGAGAGCACATTTTCCTTCTTATTACTTATCGTCAAATTATTTCTTAAATCTAACACAATCTTTTTTAAGGACTCCAATGTCAGCGGTGTATTTTGAGGTTTCCGGTTTCTAATCGGCAAAGATTTCTGCGACACGCTAAAATCATCTGCCCGCATTGGATCGTATAATGATACAATTTTTAATTGATTTCCCATATCATCGTCATGTAGTTCTTCCTCGTCCTTGCTCAAGTCTAAAAAAAACTATTTTTTTCATTCTATTTAAAATTAAGTTAATAATTTCAACGTTTAAATTAACGTTTCAATAATACCAGAATTAGCGAGAAGTTCTCGAGCAGAGTTGTAATCACGAAGCCATGTACTCTCGCCGTTAGTCACTTTGAGATTCTCATTAGAATTCGACCAGTCGCCCGAGGAATGGAGATCCTTCTTTCTCACCCAATCTTTCAGTGGCTGATCGGCTATCGCTCCTCCTTCGTAGACGCTTCTATCTAACCTACACTCAAGAGTGGAACGGATATCTTTCTATCTGTCGCGAAAGACATGTGCTGGCTGTTAGAAAATTCGTTGAGCATGAGAAACGTCATTAAATAATTCAAATCGCGAATTAAATTTATGACTGACAAATTGTCAGTTTTATTATTACCAATTTTATTACAATAATTTAAAAAATTTACTTTTACAAAAATTTAAAATAATATAATTATTTTGATTATCTTATAATATCATTTTATCAAAATTTTTATAGACATTTATACTATTATTTTTAATATGTATCACACAATGTAATTGTTTAATTAAACAGTGCGTTAGTATTGTTCCATCGCTTACGTGTCAGGAGATCGATAAAAAATGTTGAAATCAGCGTTATCAGCCTCTCTCTTAAATGTCATATCGTTATCCAGATAGACTCTCTGAGGGACGTCGTGAGTATTTTCCTCCCCGTATTTCTTCTTCTGCAGCATCCACATCCTTTCATAATTCTGATCGAAGCCTCTCTTGCCGCGTAACCTACTTCTATAACCGATATCGGCCGATTCTAGGACATTTTCTGTGTTGACGGATACTGTAGAGTGCCATTTTGTATATTCCCCCGAACTGGACCAGAAATATCCGCGTTAAATCATTCAATAAAGATCAGAATGTTTCTAAATCGCTGTCGAATAAAAATACAAATCGAGATTGTTGGGAATTTTTATCCATTGAAATACAGGTTTCTCTCTAAGTTTAGCGATTAAAAATGTTATAAAAATTGAATTAAAACTTATTTATCGTTTGAATTTATTTTATTTTTTTATTCACATTATCTTTTTCTTTCGCGCATTAAAGTAACAAGCTCTTACTCATCTAGTCGAGTTATATGATTAACACGACGGGTAGCGTGATCTATCCACTTCAAATCGTTCTGCGCTTTCAGAACGTCCTCCAGAAATCTATTTAGAGCCGCGCTACTTTTCTTGTCGCTGATCGTCGCGGATTCATTCGCGGTGCGATTTCGAGTGTCAACCTGTGTTCAACAACAACAATCTCAACAACGAATGATCTTATCGACGTATCGATTTTTCGACGCTTTCACGGAGCATTAGTTGCATCCACGGGTTTAAATTAAAATATCTTGGAGAGCGAGAAAATTAACACTTACACACAAGTGCACGGCCACGGGCTGCGAAGGGGTTTACAACGCGTCCTGCAACGCTCTCTTAAATGTCATATCGTTATCCAGATAGACTCTCTGAGGGACGTCGTGAGTATTTTCCTCCCCGTATTTCTTCTTCTGCAGCATCCACATCCTTTCATAATTCTGATCGAAGCCTCTCTTGCCGCGTAACCTACTTCTATAACCGATATCGGCCGATTCTAGGACATTTTCTGTGTTGACGGATACTGTAGAGTGCCATTTTGTATATTCCCCCGAACTGGACCAGAAATATCCGCGTTAAATCATTCAATAAAGATCAGAATGTTTCTAAATCGCTGTCGAATAAAAATACAAATCGAGATTGTTGGGAATTTTTATCCATTGAAATACAGGTTTCTCTCTAAGTTTAGCGATTAAAAATGTTATAAAAATTGAATTAAAACTTATTTATCGTTTGAATTTATTTTATTTTTTTATTCACATTATCTTTTTCTTTCGCGCATTAAAGTAACAAGCTCTTACTCATCTAGTCGAGTTATATGATTAACACGACGGGTAGCGTGATCTATCCACTTCAAATCGTTCTGCGCTTTCAGAACGTCCTCCAGAAATCTATTTAGAGCCGCGCTACTTTTCTTGTCGCTGATCGTCGCGGATTCATTCGCGGTGCGATTTCGAGTGTCAACCTGTGTTCAACAACAACAATCTCAACAACGAATGATCTTATCGACGTATCGATTTTTCGACGCTTTCACGGAGCATTAGTTGCATCCACGGGTTTAAATTAAAATATCTTGGAGAGCGAGAAAATTAACACTTACACACAAGTGCACGGCCACGGGCTGCGAAGGGGTTTACAACGCGTCCTGCAACGGCATTCCTGTCGCGAAGACAGCGGAATGTCCTGTCGCTGACAATTCCTTTCTGCCAGCCCCGCCGCCGGCATGTTAGCGCGTTATAATAATACCGGGCGTTCCGTATATAACGCATCCCGTATATGTACTATTTCGCTCCGTCCTTTTTCCGACGCGGGCGCACGGCCAAGACAATGGTCCCTACATCCGGGAGCCGCGGGCGGAGGACGCGGTGTTATTAAAAATTCACTCCCTCCCCCTAGAGCGGCTGAAGTGGCCTCTGGCAATCTGCATCTCATTCCCGTCGGGCCCTTGTGCCATCAGGTGGCTGGCAGCTAGCGCGCACGGAGGAAAAGGGGTGGAAAACTCGAGCGAGCGTCGCGACGCGAGACGGTCCCGCAGTTTCGCGGCGGGACGCGACGTCGCGGTCGGTTTTCGCCGAATAAAAAAAAGAATCTTACACTCAATTATACGCGGCATTTAACTAAATAAAGACTCGCTGACTTCCGTCTCATCCACAGCCTCCCTTTCAACCTCCCTCGCCCCTAAGGTCTCTGTACCGGGCCTAGAATTCCTTTTATTAAACTGCCACGCGATAATGAATCGTTTTTGTTGGTTAAACGACGTTTTATTTTATTTTAAAATATGCATAAGTTTTAGATATATATTACTGCATATTGTAAACGTGTATAATAAGCGATATGATATAGTGATATGGATCAAATGTTTCTTAAAAAATATTATAGCGTTACTCTTTTTCATATAAAAGAATTATATGAATAATATCTTTTATTTCTTATATAATTCTTTCGATTTCGTTTTTTAATCGTTCCAAGTGTTCCTGCACTAATCAATATTGCAATGCCGTTTGCGAGCTCCTTTTCGTAGGTTCTCCATCAATCGGCTTTTGCGGGATTCGGGGAAACCAAAAGTACGGCGGGCATAATCAATCACGAAGCGTTTTCGGCCGCAATACGCGGCCGAAGAGAGAAACGGTAGACGACAGTTCGCATAGTTCCGAAACGAGAACGGTAATATCGCTGGCCCGGGGCGACCAACCCTTTGTCATTTTGTCATCCGACGTAAGAACCGGAAAGCCGCGCTACGAGACAGATGCTTCGCGGTGCGTCACT